TGGTCAGTGTGTGTGCAGCCTGAATTTCTGCTCTCTTACCAGACATTGTGCTGCATGCCTTTCCACGTGTCTATTCGTCTTCATAGGCATCCTTTTAAAGGCATGATGGCGATTCGGTTCAGTACATACAGCACAGTCTACCTAGATTAAATGTGAGTGATCACTGAATATTATTTTCTTCTCCTCCTTACTGTTATGACTGCTGCTATGTTATTTGCTGTCATCAGTACATATGGAATGTCTTTGTGCATAAGGCACTTCTTCATTTCCATTTTTTTCTTTATCAGAAGACAGAGTCACAGAAGAGGGAAGATGCTCATTTGCCCCCGCAAAGGACGCCGTGAGTTTTGTTCTCTCACGACACACGAGAGCTCCCAGTTCACTGTGACCTTGCCAGCTTTAGCTGCCACAGGTTTTTACCAACTCTGCCGGAGTATGGCGTATGGCAAATAGACTGTCCGCGTCAAATAAGCAGGTGGATGCGTTCTGACGGCTGTGAAGGCACCAGCATCAACAGGCGGAACGTTTGGGGCGACCACCAGTCTGCTTTCTGCACCTTTTCTGGAGCATCCTGTGAATGTGGTCTTTCGGGATGTAGCTTTTTTTTCTTATATCTGACTTCTTCTGCTCAGCGTGATGGTTCTGAGATTCACCCTCCGTGCTGTGTCGGTCAGTAGTTTGTTCTCGTTGCCACTAACAGGCCACTGAGTGGCTGTGTCACATTTCAGATGTGTCTCCCCCTGTTTTCCAGTTTGGATTTATTCAGGAACAAAGCGTCTGTGACCGTTTGTGCACCAGTGTCTGTGCAGACACGTGCTTTGTATCTCTTGGGCCAGTAACTGGAAGTGGCGGAATCACTGGTAAACACATATTTAGCTTTACAAAATCTGCCAGTTTTCCTAAGTGATTGTTTTTTCTTTTCTTTCTTTCTATTTTTGGCCGCGCTGGGTCTTCGCTGCTGTGGGAGAGCCTCCCCTGGTGCGGCGGGCGGGTTCCTCCATCGTTGCAGGCGCAGGTTTCTCCTCGCAGAGCACGGGCTGCGGCTCGCGGGCTTGACGGGGTCTTAGTTCCTGGGCTGGGACTGACCCCGTGTCCCCTGCATTCACAGGCAGAATTTTAACCACTGGACCACCAGGGAAGTCCCCTGGTATTTTTATAAAAAGCAAATTTGCTTCTTAAAAATGACAACTTGTTCTCTCAGTGTGATTTTTTTTAATTGCTAGTGAGATTAATATTTTCCCACATCTCGCCAAGGGGGTATGTTTCTTTTTTGGTAGTGACCTGTTTGGGTATTTTACCCATTTATCTATTGGGGTCTTACACGCATTTTCTTTCGTGACTTGTTATGCTGTGAATTCTTTATGTACAGACACTTATTCACTGTGACTTGCCCTCCCCTGGCTTTCATGTTCCCTTTGATTTCCAGCTGTGCCTCTCTTGCACACAAGGGGAATTCTGAGTGTCCAGGGCGCTGGGTGGGTCTTGGCTCTCGCGATTTCTCTTCTTGCTTCATACCAGCTGTTCCTGGTCTGGCCTCTGCCTGACTGTCCCACTGTCTGTCCCGCCTGCGTCTGGGTGTGGCGCCCACGGCCACTCTTGACAATGGTTCTGGCGTCTCACCGGTGAGGGACGGGGTGCGAGGGGCCCCCCTGAGAGCAGCCATCGGTACTGAAATAGTTACGCTGGTGATAGCATCTGTGTGATGTCCCAGCCCCTTGCTCCTTTTGGAGGTTAGCGCTGGGTCTCCCCACCCGCACCTGCGGGGCAGGCAGGGACTGCAGGTGCGCGGGCAGACAGGTGGGGAGGGGAGGGCCCTGTCTGGGTGCCCAGGTGCCTTCTCAGCAGGCCTGGCTGGCCCACCCACCCGTGGAGTCACCGCTTTGAGCCCTGGGCGAGCTGAGCCAGGGGAGCCTCGGCCCTTGTGTTGTGTGTGGTGGTGGGGCCTCTTGGAAAGTTTTTCTAGGGTCAGGGCCCTTGTGACTGAAAGAAAAGGACATGTTCTCACCCTGTGTCCTGGGTGGGGCACCCAGGCCTCGGGTGGACGGCGGCTGGGCCGCATCCGTGCTGTGGGCATCTGGGCAAGGCACCCACCTCCTGGAGCTCGTCTCCTGTTGGGACAGTCCATTTATTCACGCAGCATTTATTAAGTGCCTGCAGTGTGCCTGACTCTGCTCTGGGCACTGCACTAGATGGTCATCCAGGCAGGTCCCTCCTCTTGGGAGGCGTTTGTGCTGTGGGGAACAGTCGTGAAACCCCAGACGTAGTGATGGCGGTAAAACAAGGTGAGGAGGAAGGGGAGCGTCTCCAGCACGTTTAATGCGGGGTCTGGAGTGGCTCCCTGGAGACAGGAGAGCCATCTGAGTCGCAGCAGGAACGGCAGGAAGGAGCTGCCTGTGCAAAGGCCCCGGGGCAGAGGGGCGGGCATCCCCAGGAGGCCAGCAGGGCTGGTGAGCGGCGAGGGGAGGGGCTGTCACGGGGAGTTTTCTCAGAACTTTGGCTTTCATTCTGCATTCCATGGGAAGGTTTTAACGGGGATAGCAGACGACTTTAAATACAGACCCTGTAGCTGTGGTGTGGGGGGGCGGACGGGGGGTGGGAATGGACGGGGCAGTGGACGCATTCCAGGGGAGCTGCCCCTGTCCCCCACCCCGGGAGGGGAAGAACCTAGGTGTGGTGCCTGCCAGGCTCTCTGAAGGCCGCGTGGCTGCCGGGAGTTGCTGGGAGAAGCATCCTGGCAGTGGGCCGGTGGTTCGGGAGTGGCCCATCGAGGATGGGGGCACCGGCAGAGGGTGACCTTCGGGCTGGACCCCAGGAGCCCCTGTGTCAGGACGGAACACGGGCAGGCAGTGTGCTGCAGCCTCCTTCAGTAACAGGGCCGGATGGGCTGTGAAGAAAGCGATCTCCCAGCGTTTAGAGCAGGGAGGTGGGACCCCTTGTGTGGACCTGCTGGGCCAGGTCTGGCGGCACCTGGAACCCTGGAGACCATGTTGGCGCGTATCTTGTGCCGCCTCCAGCACTCCACTCCTGCACGCAGCCCCCCACCCCCAAATCCAAGGACCCCTCCCTTGTCAGATCCCGGGGCTGCCAGCTGCCTGCTGAGCGCTTTGCATTCATTATCTGGGTCCATCACATTGTATTTTCTGAGAGCCTGAGTGTGTGCGTGCGTGCGTGTGTGCGTGTGTGTGTGTGTGTGTGCATGGTCTGACAGGTCTGAGGACTCAGCAGTTTCTAGCTCTGGGATCTTGGGCCCCTTTTCTGACTCCTGAGAGTCAGTTTCTTCTCTTGTGAAACCAGGCAGCAGCAGTAACAGGCTGCGGGCAAAGTTCAGTGAGACGGTCTGCATGGCTCTGCCTGAGGCTCAATGTGGCAAATGCAAGAAAAACCGTGGCCGCCCACCTGGTGCCGTGGGTACCACCAGGCTCCTTCTGCTTGCAGAGTCAAGAGGTCGCCCCGGGGGTATAGCGCTTGAGCCTGACACGGATGGTGAACTCGACTCACTGCGGCAGGTGGTGGGCTTTGGAACCCAGACCCACTGCGTGTGGAGACCACAGCGGCTGCCGTAGGCCCCCCGAGGGACCAGGAAGCGGTGGGCGCAGGCAGTCTTGGAGCGTTGAGTCTAGAAGGCCTTCTGCTGGGCTGGGGGCTCAGAAGGAGCTGAGAGTCAACTGCCCCGGTAGCGTTCTTGTTTTCTTAGGAAGAACGTGGCCCCCGGCTTGATTTTGTGCAGCGGGCTGTGGGGGTGTGAGTGGGCCGCTGCCTGTTGTCACTGTGGCAGGAAGTCTGTCAGTCCGGGGCCCTCTCCTGGCCTTTGCCCCCGAAGCTGGCCAGTGACCTCTGTCTTGATCAGGCTTGCCGGCCTGGGCCCCCTGACTCATCAGACCCCCCTCTGTTTTCCTTCCATGGGAACCAGCCAGGGTGTGGCCTGGGTGGGCTGCGGACCGCATGGGCGCAGAGGGCGGGAGCTTGTGTTGGAGAGCTGAGGTAAACGGGCCCGGGGTGTCCAGTCCTCCAGGGCCTGAGCGCTGAGCACCACCCCCCGGAGGAGCGGGTGTGGGTCAGGCCAGGGGATCTGACCACCGTGAGGACACGGGCAGCCCCATATCCAGCCCGAGGGTCCCGTCTCCACGCGTTCCAGAAGACACGTGTGAGGACTTGGTCAGGCGATGACGTCGCTTCGGGGGAGAGGGAAAGAAAGAGCAGTTTAGCATCTCGGTGGTCAGGCGATGACGTCGCTTCGGGGGAGAGGGAAAGAAAGAGCAGTTTAGCATCTGGGTTTCTGAGCAATGGCTCTGCAGCTCATCTTGTGGCTTCATCAGGTCTGTCCAGACACCCACCTTTTGTAGGTCCCGCGGGCCAGCCACATCTGCACTGTCAGTCTGCCTTCACCCCTAGGAAGCTGGGGATCAGAGAGGTCCCCGGGCTGGCCCGCTGTCACACAGCCAAGGGCAGAGCTGGAGCGGAAACCCTCAGCCTTCCTACCCGAGCCTGTGGGATTTTTCCCTCCTTGCGTGAGAAAGAGGACCATAACGATCTAGGTATCAGGAAGAAACGTTATCGGTAGTAAGAAGCAGGGTCAGCCCAGCGTGCTGGAAGGCTGCCTGCCTCCTGCCTGCGGCTGAGCCTGGCTGGCAGAGGGGCAGCTGGCCCTTTAAGTCGGGTTCCCGGGGTGGGGGTGGGGAGGGAGGTGCTGGCCGGATGGATCTCCCCTCCTGAGTCTGGGGCTCCCCGCCAGACAGCCTGCCGGCGCCTTCCCTCCGATCCGGGCTTCCCTTCCCCGCGCGATGCTGCTGATTCACCCTGGGCTGGAGTCCGCGGCGCTGCGGGGCTGCAGGCCGCGCCGCTGGTTGGAGGACTCGGGGCCTCTGCGGGTGCCCCGGGGGGGCTGGGGCGTCAGGGGAAGGGGCCCCGCACGCCGCAGAGGTCGTCTGCAGGGGGCAGGGAAGGGGGCAGGGCTCGGCCCAGGCCCCTCACAGGTGCCCGCCCCCCGGCCTCCCCTGCAGGGCGCTTCAAGGACGACCGCATCGCGTTTTGGACCTGGATGTTCTCCACCTACTTCATGGAGAAGTGGGCCCCGCGCCAGGACGACATGCTCTTCTACGTGCGCCGGAGGCTGGCGTTCGCGGGCAGCGAGGCTGCCCTGGACGGGCGGAAGGTGAGCACCCGCGGGCCACCCCCTCCCTGGGGTCCGCGGGCTTGTGGGGGCGCCTGCAGCCCCCCTCGTGCATGCTGAGAGGGGGATGCGGTGTTCGTTCGGCGCCCGCCGGGTGCCAGGAGCTGGGTGGGGCGGTCACGCAGGTGTCCAGTGGTGGCTGCGCGGGCCTCGTGTGGGTGTTACTACTGAGCTTCCCCACGACCCCGGGCCTCGTGTGGGTGTTATTACTGAGCTTCCCCACGACCCCGGGCCTCGTGTGGGTGTTATTACTGAGCTTCCCCACGACCCCGGGCCTCGTGTGGGTGTTATTACTGAGCTTCCCCACGACCCCGGAAGGCAGCGATGAGTGCCTTGGAGGAGACATGTCCAGAGGCTGGGTGGTCTGGCAGGCATCTCATCCTTAGTAAGTAAATGGGAGCGCGAAGACGTTGACCCCGGAGGCTGGGTCCAGCCTGGCCGTGGGCAGGTGACCCGGCTTGGTGATGGTGGTGATGGCGGTGATGCCTGCCAGCCCCCGAGCCCTCACCTCACCCATGACATGGGGCTCAGCCTCCTGCCTCTCCATCTCTTATGTCTTCCCAGCAACTGGACAGGGCAGGGGTTATCATCCCCTTTTTACAGAAGAGACCGAAGGCTCGCAGGTGACATGAGTCACCTCCGGTGTTTAATTCTCTAAGTTTCAGTGTGTTGACAAGTTAGTAGAACAAGCTTTGCATGTCTTTCAGAAGCTTTATTGTTTTGTAAAATGTTGAAACAACCTGTATGCCAAACATGCAAAGGTGTTGTTTTCCTTTAAACACAAAAACCCTGCGGGTAGTGGAGACAGGTCTTTGCAGCATACCTGCCCCAGCGCTTGTGACCCCTAACCCTAACCCTAGGCTGGGGTTTGGTGGCTGGGGCTTGTGACTTCCCTGCCCTGTACCTGCTCTTTGAGCCTGATCATGCAGGACGGGTTTTCTGCAAACAGACAGGCCTGGTGCCTGCTGCAAAGGAGACATAGTGACCTGCGTGCCTGCCGCCAAATGGCTGGTCCGGTCGGGCTGCGTGACAGGCGGGAAGACCCGGGGGTGGGCCAGGGTGCTCTGTGACCATCTGGAGTGTGCAGCGGCTGGCCATGTGACTGGGTTGTCACTGGGGCCGGTGGACGCTGGGACCCTGAAATGCATCACGTGGAGCCAACACGGTGTGGGTCACTATTGTGACCAGAGGGAGGGGCGTGGTCAGCGAGGCCACTGGAGTGAGGCGGGCCTGGAAGGAAGGGAAGGGATGGTCCTGGCGGAGAGGCCAGTGGCCGAACGGTGGGCCTGACCGTCTGCTGAGGTCTACGTTGCAGATGCCGTGTGTTTGTGTGTGTTTGTGTGTGTTTGTGTGCACAATCTTGGTGGTGGTTTACAGGCAGTGTGTTGAGACCAGAGGACTGAGTCCACGTGAGATGCGGTCGTGCCTTGAATGTTGGTGCCTAGAGGGGCCCCGGTTCTGGTCAGGGAGAGTTTTCCTAGCCGATCTGGCCTTGACTGCGCCAGTGGGCAGGCGGGGCCGAGGAGGGGTCGGCTCTGCAGGTTCCCCGAGCCGCCAGGCTGGGAGGTGAAAGCAAGTGCTGGCTCGCGCTTGGGGAGGGAACCCTGGACTCAGGCCTGAGCGGTTTCGGAGCTGGAGTCCTGAGCTGTGTGAGGGCTTCTGAAGGCGGGCGGGGGCGGGGGCAGCGGTGAGGTCAGTGAGGGGAGCCCGAGTTTGGGAGCGTGTGGCCGTCTAGCTGTGCGCATGCTGGAACGTTCCGCCACACCCCTGCCCTGAGCCCCCTGCAGGCCCTTCTCTCCCAGCACTGGTAGCACGAGATGACAGCCTCGGCCGGGCCCTCAGGGAGCACGCCCCCGCCCCGCTGCCCCCTGGCCCCGCATAGCCAGTGGCACGTGGAGCGGTTGGTGCTGGGATGGTGGGAGGAGTGGGGTGGCTGGGGGCCCACAGAGGAGGCGGCGGCATCTGGCCGCAATGTTGTCCGTCAGAGCGAGGGGATGACGGTGGACAGAGGACATTTGTGGGGAGGGGCGAGCCAGCACACGCACGACAGGCCCCGCCGGGGTGGGTCTGCGGTGTCTGGAAGGCAGCAGGCGGGCCGCGCGGTGGGGAGACCCCACGGGTCTGGAGGTGCCAGGTGGCCGGGGCGGGGGAGGAGGGAGACCACACAGGGGTTCCCGGGCAGCCTCCCTGCCCTCCTCTGCTCGGGAAAGCAGAAAGGAAAGCCCCTGGCCGGCGTGCCGTGGGCGCTGTTGCAGGGCCTGCGCACTGCGGGCTCTCTGCGGCAAGCCCGGCCGCCTCCCGCCCCCTCCTCATCCGGGCCGCCAAGGAGCTGGTACCCGGTTGCCGTAGCAACCCGAGGGCCTCTTGCGCGCTCAGCTGGTGCAGAGGGTGGCTGGCTGGACAGGTGGACGGGCCGCCTGTGGGCTGGGCCAGGATGCTGGGATCCCCCCGCCCTGCTGCGGGGCCCAAGGGACGAACTCGGTGGGAGGCTGACTTCTTGATGAACCCCGGGGGTGGGGGGGGGGGTCGGGGGGCCAGAGAACCCAGGAGGGAGATTGGAGCCCACGCCCCAAGTGGAGGGGCCAGGGACGAGAAGATGCCCCCACTCGGGGGTGGGGAGGGCAGTGAGGGCCGGGACTCACCTCTGCCCTGGGCCTCGCAGCTGGCGGAGGCCGAGCCGGAGGTAGAGGTGGAGGTGTACCGGCGGGACTCCAAGAAGCTCCCGGGCCTCGGAGACCCTGACATCGACTGGGAGGAGAGCGTCTGCCTGAACCTCATCCTGCAGAAGGTATGGAGCGCCGAGGGCAGGGCTCCCAGCGGTGGGGGCGGGGTGCTCAGAAGGCCCCGGGGAACAGCGAACCCCTGCACTCCCTGTCCCGCGTCCCTTCCAGCTGGACTACACGGTGACCTGTGCTGTGTGCACGCGGGCCGATGGCGGCGACATCCACATCCACAGGAAGAGGTCCCAGGTGAGCCCTCGGGGGCCCAGGGCTCATGGGGGCGAGTACCCCTCCCGCTGTCCGGCCGAGGGGAGGCTGACTCCAGAATTTCCCTGCAGCCCCGGGGGCCTGTGGAGCCCCCCGAACCAGGTCCTCCCTCCCAAAGGCTCCTTCCCCAGCGGCTCCTGTGACCCTGTGACCCGTGCCTTACAACACACCCCACCCCAGTGAGTGGCTCCAGGCCCGGGTGTGGGGCACGGTGGGGTCTCACTCAGCCCCCTCCAATCTGCTTTCTTCTAGCAAGTGTTTGCGTCCCCCAGTAAGCACCCCATGGACAGCAAAGGGGAGGAGTCCAAGATCAGCTACCCCAACATCTTCTTCATGATCGACAGCTTCGAGGAGGTGGGGGCCCTGTCTTGGTCTGGCTCCCTGATCAGGGGATGTGACACCCCCAGCCCCTGGCCCCACCCCCCAGGCCTCACACAGCTTCAGGAAGGAGGTGGGGGCAGGGCTGGGCTCCCACTCTCCCTGTTTCCTTGACTCAGGGCAAATGAGTTCACCAGGCTTGAGCCTCAGTGTTCTCACCTGTAAAATGGGCGTCAGGGTTGAAAGATCAGAGAGCTCACGCGTGGGAGGAGGCGTCATCAAGTCCTGCAGGGCACTGCCCGGGCAGGAGGGACGGTTATTACCACCCTTGAACCCTAAATGAGGCCTCCACACCTTGGGGTCCTAGGATGTCCGCCATGGGTGGGGCTCCAAACGTGACAAAACTGGGGCCCCGGGCAGCTCACTCGACTGGGAAACGCAGGGTGCTGGGAAGCCAGCTGCGCCCCCTGGCGACCCTGCCGGCTCCTGTCCAGCCACCCTCCTGTTGAGGTCTGGGCCGAGGAGCTGTTCCCCCCACCACCCGCAGCGAGGGCCGGGGTGGGGGCTGCCCTGAAGGAGTCACGAAGGATGGGGCGTGGGTCGCAGGTCGCTTCTCGGTTTGGTTGGCATCTTGAGCATCTCAGGTCAGGGGGCTGAGCGCCCTCTTCAGGCTCACACAGTTGGTCCGCCGCAGAGCTGAGACTGAAGCCGGAGTCTGGACGACCTCAGAGCTCAGCCTGCACAGGCCCCTCTATCCCCGCCCCGTGCGCAGTGACTCTCGGGGGCGGCTGTCCAGTCCCCTGCAGGCCATCGCCCCCCGCAGGCCATCGCCCCCCGCAGGCCATCGCCCCCTGCAGGCCATCGCCGCCCGCAGGCCATCGCCCCCTGCGGGCCATCACCCCCCGCAGGCAGGCAGTCTGTCCGTGCGGCTTCTGAGCTGGTGCCCACACACAGGCTGTGACGGCGGGGGCAGGGCTGGGGCGAGTGGACTGTGCACCCATAGCCGGGGGTGGAGAAGATACTCGAAAGCGGGCCAGACAGCCCCCGTGAACTGTTCGACTTCCTGGTGTCCCTCCACTGGATGCTGGGGTGGGGCGCATCCTGTTCCGGTCCCTTAGTCACGATCTCAGCCCCTTCTAGACGCTGCTCCTGCCCGCGGGTGGGCTGCCCCCTTGCTGTGAGGGTCCCCGTTGAGTGGTGGCAGGCCTGGGGGCCTTGGGCAAAAACATTTACATCTGTGGCTCAGCGTTCTCACCTGTAAAGGGGGAGTTTCCAAGCAGCCCTCCCTGAGTCAAGGAGTCGGGTGGGGGACTGGGAGCCGGGCCGTGCTGGGGGCAGGGGGCAACCGACCGGTGCATCCCCGCATCCGCCTCGCGCCCCCCCACCCCAGGTGTTCAGTGACATGACCGTGGGGGAAGGGGAGATGGTCTGCGTGGAGCTGGTGGCCAGTGACAAGACCAACATGTTCCAGGGGGTCATCTTCCAGGGCTCCATCCGCTATGAGGCGCTCAAGAAGGTGTACGACAACCGCGTGAGTGCGGGGTGGGCCGGGGCCCGGGGGCGAGCACCCCACAGCCCCCCTCCGTTCTCGCCCAGCTCCTGCAGCGCCCCCAACGCCCCTTCTGGTGGCTGGGGCCTGGGTCAGGTGGTGATCGTCCCAGGGAAACCCTCCTGGGATTGGTCAGGGCCTGACCGACGGACCGAGGGGAGGGGAGTCCAGGTGGACGGGCGCCCTCCTGCCGCTGAGCCCCACCCCAGCTGTCCTCTCTCTGGACCCTGGGGCAAGGGACGGGAGGCGTCTCGGTCCCCGGATGGGGCGTGGTCTTCGGGCCGAGAGGGCATCAGACGGGGATGCAAGAGTCCCGGCACCGCCCCGCCTTGTGGGCAAGCCCGGGTCAGCTGGGGCTAGGTCTCTCCGGAGGGGGACCGTTGGCCCTCGGGCCTCTTGAGGGAGGGCCCCCTGGCTGCGGGAGCCCCCGGGAGCAGGCGCCCCCGCCCACCTGACCCCGCGCCCCGCCCGCCCACAGGTGAGCGTGGCGGCCCGTGTGGCCCAGAGGATGTCGTTCGGCTTCTACAAGTACAGCACCATGGAGTTCGTGCGCATGAAGGGGCCCCAGGGCAAGGGCCACGCCGAGATGGCGGTCAGCCGCGTGTCCACCGGTGACACGTCCCCCTGTGGGACGGAAGAGGACTCTAGCCCGGCCTCGCCCATGCATGAGCGGGTAAGGCTGCGCTGCTCGGGGAGGGCCCCGCCTCCCCATCCTTCCCGCCCCCGCCCCCGGGGAGGTAGGTGTCATGGTCCCCACCCCTCTGGGGAGCAGGCCGAGGTTCAGAGAGGGCAGGTGACTGGCCCGGGGTCACACAGCAGGTTAGTGCCTGAGCCCCGAGCGGCCACGGCGGCGGGGCTCAGCCGGCGGGGTCCCAGCACCCGCCTCGGTGGACCTGCTGGGTGAGGGTGAGCACCTGAGCAGCCTTCCCCGGGGGCGAGATGGGGACGACAACCAGCCAGCCGCCCATCATGCTCCAGGAGGGCTGGCTGGGGCCCCCGGCTCGTCTCTGCCGGGGCCGCTTGCCAACCAGGCTCTGGGCACCGGAACAGCTGACGGCTGCGCAGCTGTGGACGCGTTTGGGCCTTCCTGTCTGCAGACCTGGGCAGCGCCAGGCCTGCCGGCTTCCTTGTGCTGCCCTCTGCCTCACGTGACAGCACTGGGCCTCTGAGCCCTTTCTAGGCCACTGTCCTTCCCGGGGCCTGGAAGCGGAGCTCAGTGGCAGCCTTATTCCCAGAGCCTCTGGGGTTGTGGGCCGGGGGCAGGGCTCAGGGAGGAAAAAATACCCAGCCCATCAGCTGCTTTGCCCCCATTGAGGGCTCCAGAGGAGACAGGGGCTCTTGAAGGAGGAGCGCGCCCTGCCAGGCGTCTCCAGGAGGGGCTGCGGGGTGAGCCGCAGTCCTGGCGCTGCTGCCCGCGTGAGCTGGGGCAGGTCTCTCCTCTCTGAGCCTCAGTTTGTTTGCCCAGAAATGGGGTGAACACACCCGCCTCCTGAGGTATTTCAGACGCCAGGGCATCAGAGGCCCTGCTGGGGGTGGGGCCGGCCGGGGCATCTGCCTGGAGAAATGGCCCCGCGCCTGTCAGTCCCGCGTCCCCGCTGATGCGCCCGAGGTCAGGGAGCCGCGCGCACTCTGCCTTTCACTGTAGGATCACCCTCAGCACGCACAGCTCCAGGGAGTCAGGTGGCGGTTTTCTTTCTCTTGTTAGGTTTTTCTTTTTTTTCCACTTTGAGTTTCCTACAGTGAATGTGTTTTGTAAGCAGAGCAGAAACAACAGACGCTCTCTTTTTGTGATGATGGGTGAGAATTCTGGGCAGAGGCCTCTGTTGCCTTGGGGACAGAGGTGGCTCATCTCTGCGATAAGGAGCCTGACTCCCCCTTGGTCCTCCGGTGCCCACTGAGGCTAACGAACGTGTGCGCGACAGTCCTTGTGAAGATGTGGCCTGGGCTGGGCTGGACAAACCTGGGTGCCAGTTCTGGCCGCGTGTTTGCCCAGTGACCACAGAGGGGTTACTGGACCAGCCCAGGCCTTCATCTTTCCGTCTATCAAATGGGGGTGCTGGTCTTTCTCTCCCAGGGTGGCCGCGGGGGGTGAAGGAGACAGTGCCTGGGAAAGCCCCTGGCCCGCAGCAGCAGGGGGAGCCTAGGGTCAAGGGGAGGGGCCTGCCAGGGTCACGCGGCTGTCAGCGGCAAAAGCCCTGACCTCCCAGCGCTGCCTGGGGCCCCCCGCCTCTGTGCTCGCTCCCCCTTTCCCAGAGGGGTCGTTTGTAACCAGCGCGTGACAAATGCAGACTCTGTGTGTATTGTGGTTTCTGGTGTTTTGTTTTTTTATCTTCTAAAAACTTTCCCCGGCTTGTGGGAGGACCGTCTGGAGCCCAGTGGCCGCCGGGACTGGTGGACGTCGGAGCCGTGACGAGGAGGCTGACGGGGCTCCCGAAGTCTCAGTCCCAGCTCGCCTGGTTCCTCAGATTCTTGTTTGCGTGGGGAGGAGGGAGGAGATGGGCCACGTTCCCTCTGCCTGGAACGCCCTTCCCCCCCTTCTTCACCTAGCTAACTCCTACTCGTCCTTCAAGACCCAGCTCAAGCGGCGTCTCCTCCGGGAGGCCTTTCGCGGTTCCCCAGGCTGTTGATCCTTGTGCCTCTGCGCGCCCCTGTGTCCTCTGCTTCCTTCCCTGTCTTTAATGACCGCCATCCAGTCTGTGGTTGTCGACTTCTGGGCCTCTCGCCCACCCGGCAGGCTGTGAGCTCCTTGGGGGCAGCCACCCAGGCCGTGTGCTGCCTGAATGGGTGTGAAGAACGCTGGGTGATGGGCGCTGTGGTGAGAAGAGAGGAGAGGAGGAGCTGGAGGGGTGGACCGCCTGACCACTGCACTTCTGTGGAAGGACGCTGGGGGAGAGGGGGCAGGAGATACAAGCCGGGAGAAGAAATTAGAGGGAAGAGCATGGCCTGAGGGGAAGCCCCAGCATGGCCACCGTCCGCTGGGTGACCCTGGCCCTGCAAGGGTGGCTGTCCCGCCCCAGCCGGCTCTCACGTCGAGGGTGGTCGGGACGGTTCGATGGATTCGGCGCCCAGAGGGTGCTCGACCCGTGTCAGCAGCCAGGCTTGCTCTGTGCTCCAATGACCCCTGTCCAGCAGTTGAGGCCCCAGGAGGGCAGCAGGGTTCTTCCTGGGGCAGAGCTGGTGGCCAGCGCCCGCCGAGCCCCAGGCCGGCCGCGGTCTGCAGGCGGGAGATGGGTGGGCACCGGGCCCCCCTATCAGGTCAGCGGGCCACCCTGGTGAAACGCGTCTCGTTCCCAGGTGACCTCCTTCAGCACACCCCCCACCCCCGAGCGGAACAACCGGCCTGCCTTCTTCTCCCCATCCCTCAAGAGGAAGGGGCCCCGGAACCGGATCGCGGAGATGAAGAAGTCTCACTCGGCCAACGACAGCGAGGAGTTCTTCCGGGAGGACGACGGGGGAGGTGACCCTGCTCCCCAATTCCCCCCACCCCCGCGGAGCCTCCTCACGCCCTTCTGCACACTCAGAGAGCCAGGGGGCCGTCCTGGGCGGGGGTGGGGCTCTGGACAGACAGCAGACAGCCACGGAGGGGAGCCCCCAGCCATGGGCGCAGCGTGGCGGGCAGTTGGCACCTGACTTCAGGGCTCAGGGGAGGGCTCTGGGGTGCACGCGTGTGTGCTGCGCCCCCTTCCTCCGCGAGGTGCCCTGCGGCCGTGCCGCCCCCAGCGGGGTGTCCCTTGGGGCCCGCCTGCCCTCCTCCCCGAGCCTGGGGGCCCGTCTGTCCGGCGGCCTCCTGGGCGTCTCCGTGGTCCTCGATCTCACCCACTCAGTCCTCAGGGCCTCCCTGCTCCCCTCTCTGCTCCAGGTGGGCGCCACTGTGGGAGCGGTGCCATGGGAGGGTGGGGCCGTGTTTATCAGAGCAGCGGGAAGTCGTTCGAGGAGCTTAGAGGGTCCTGATCAGCAGGACCGAGGCAGAGGGCCTGCTGGACGAGACCCTGGCCAGGGCCGGAGACCCTAGCCCCAGCCTTGACCTGCTCTCGAGTGGGCTTGGGCAGCACCGCCCTCCTGGGCTCCTTCCAGACCAGCAGGAAGGCGTCCACAGCGCCCACCTGCCTCCCTGGGCGGCCCACGGCTGGGTGATGGTGCTAGGTCGTTCCAGCCGTACCCCCGCGCCCCTCCAGGGAGAGGACTGGAGTGGGGCAGCCACAGAGCCCTGCAGTGCCGGGTCAGGGCCCCCAGGGGAGGCGCTCCAGGACTGGGGTGGGATCAGGCGGGAAGGCAGAAGGGGGCTGGGCGTCGCAGGCCAGGGAGGGGTTACCTGGTTGGGCCGTGTCCTCCCCGCGTCCCCCCGCACCGTGGCCCGGGCCTGACCTGCCTTCTCTGCTGCAGCCGACCTGCACAATGCCACCAACCTGCGGTCTCGCTCCTTGTCGGGCACGGGGCGCTCCCTGGTCGGGTCCTGGCTGAAGCTGAACAGAGCAGATGGGAACTTCCTTCTCTATGCACACCTAACCTACGTCACTTTGCCGCTGCATCGGATTTTAACAGGTGACTTTGACTTTGGGGTGGGACCCCTGGGGGAACCATGGGCCCCTAAACAGTGCTTCTGTGGGCAGTGCTTGGGCGCCCACGCCATCCCCCGGGAAGGGCTTCAGACCCTCGGCATGCGCCTGCTACTCGAGGGGCAGGCGGAGCTCGTGCTGACGGGCCTGCGGGGCCGTGACTCTAGAGTCAGGCCGCCCGCGTGAGCCCCAAGCCCCGAGCCCTTGCCCGGCGGTGCAGCTGCTCCAGGCGCACTCGTTGCCCCGTTCCTGTCCGGAGGGAGGGTGAGCCCAGCACCGCAGGTCCCCCAGGGCTGGAAGAGCGCCTTGGGGGCATCCCTCACAAACGGAGCACCGGGAAGGTCCCCATGCTCCCTCTGCAAGCCCACAGGGTCACCTTTCCCTGTCTCCTCCACGCCCCCTCCTGCCGCCCTAGACATCCTGGAAGTTCGGCAGAAGCCCATCCTGATGACCTAGCCGTGTGCAGAGCCCGTGCGGAGCCCCCAGCCCTGCCCAGTCCTGGGAGTGCTGCCAAGTGCCTACCTGCCCACCGCCACTGGGGTCTTCCGGGACCACCCAGCGCTGGAGCCGGAGCCAGGCGGGGCCGCTCGACTCCCGGGGCCAGGGCCAACTCCACGAACACCAGCCCAAACTGAAGTGCCTCTTCCTCGTCCCTGCTGGCCCTGCTCTGGCCCCCGCGCCCACCCACCCACCACCCTCAGCCTGTCTCTGGGGGAACCCTCTGCACCCCGAGGAGCAGACTCGCCAGGAGGCCATAGGAGCGAGGGAGCGGCCGGTGGCCAGCCCGTGGACCCGCCCTCACCTCCCGGCAGACAGCAGGGAGACTGCCTGGCTGGAGCCGCACCACGTATCCAGCACTCAAGGAAAACCGGTTTAAGATGTGGTGACGCTGACCCGATGAGTTAGTCCCGATCGTCTGTCCTCCCCAGCTTGCCCCGCGGTCGTCTTTAGATGGGTTTCCACAGGGAGCACGGCCGTCTGCTGGCTCTGCCCTGGGCTGGGAATACCTCACCCCGCACCCAGCTCCAGACCGGCCCTTGTCCCGCCAGAATGGCCTTTGCTTCCAGCCAAAGAGCATCACCCACATACACACACCTCCAACCTGGAGACGGCCCATCTGCACCTCGGCTGGCGTGACCGGCAGGATTGGGGTCCTGAGGGCAGGAGGGGAGGGGTCGTGCCGACAGAAGGGTGGGGTCTCCTGCCGGAAGGGCGGATGGTGCGCCATGGGGTCGACGTCCTCCCAGGAAGGTTCCAGGCCGAGCCTCCGTCCTCCGGGACCAGGGCAGGGGCTGGAGCGGCTCGTCTTCCCTGCTTCCCTGGAGCTCGTTTCCTTTGACTGGGTGTGCAGGTCCCACCTCTCAGGCCAGTCACTGAGGCAAAGAGGCACTGGCTTTCCGGTTGGTCAGGCCTCCTTCCAGCTCGGATGGAAGGTTTCCACCTGCGGGGATGCGCCGTGCTCCTCTCAGAACCACGAGCCTCCCCAGGAGCGGAAGCACTGCTCCTGCTGTTCCCCAAGGGGTGAGCTGTCAGCGGGGTCTCTGCTGCTCTCTGTGCGTCCTCAGGGGTATCTGAAGGGTCCCTGGGTGTGGGTAGCGATCCCCCTGGGGGAGGAGGGGGGTAGGAGGAGGGGCTCGTGTTCCCGTCCGTTTCGTCCTTTGCGCTCCAAGGGTTTGCTTCGAGCTCCGGGAAACAGGGGGACTCCTTTGGGGCTTCTCCAGACTTTGTATGCTGTTATTAAAAGTGAGCTACTGCATTTCATTCTGCCTCAGTTTGCCCACCTGTGAATGAGGCTGATACCACCTACCTCACTGAAGTCTCCAGGGTTCCAGCGCACGACCAGGTCAGGGTGAGATGGCCAGTCATTCTGCATAGCTCAGCTCAGGTGTCAGGTCATAGGAATGCTTTCCTGTCCCCCCGCCCCCACCCACCCCAACCCCATCACCTAGGCCAAGAAGGGCAGCGGTGGGGTCAGGGGGAACATTCTCGGCTTCTCCGACAGTGCTCGGCTCACCCACATTTGGCCGCATCTCAGCTCCTTGCATGATTTAACGATCTGACGTCCCAAAGCCGCGTCTTCTAGCCCCAGAGCACTGGAGTAGAGCTTCAGGGAGCCGGGGGCCTGGCCCAGGGTCCTGAGACGGGTTGAGTGTTCCCTGGGCTCCTCTCCTTCCTGGTCTTCTGGGGTCTGAAGGCTCTTGGCCCTGACCTTGGGAGAAATGCAGTCCTGACGCATCTCCCAGGGAAGGATGAGGTCGTTCAGCACATGTGCAAGTGCAGGGCCCTCTCTGTTGTCAACGGCGAGGACCCCGAGGAGGGGCCTCCCACTGGGGCCAGGAGTGGGACCCCCTGTTAAGATGCCTCGTAGGGTAACTGAGGGCCAACTGCAGGAAGGTTGTGTGCGTGCTGGGGTTAGCGATCACACCTCACTCATAAAGCACATGAACAGACGCACAGCATGGTTTGGCTGTTTTATATCCAGCGTTGAGATAGTCCCTGGCATATGCAGGGACTGTGCTAGACATGTAGATACCATCATCACCCCCATCTTAGAGACGAGGAGGCAGCCACAGAGAGGTTAGGTGAACTGCCAGAGACCGAACAGCAGGAAGACGAGCACAGCCCAGGCCCCCGGCCCCCGTGGACACTGAGCCACGACCCCCTGCCACCCCAGGACGGACACAGGAGCCGAGCTTTCTCAGTCTTAAACCCTCCCCGGGGTACTTCTGACACTTGATCTAAACAAGCGTAGAGGTGTTTGGTCACTAGGCAGTAAGCCGTTACTCTGAGTTTTGCTTTTTTCAGTCCCAAAGGACATCAGTAGCAGAGTCACAAAGAGGCACATGACAGCTGGAACCGGCCGCCAACGTCCCGGGGCGTATCGGTGTTGCCACACCTCACTTCCTGTAAGGCCATCTTTCATTTTCCAGGAACATGCCTGACTTACGTAACATGGAGGCGGCCAGAGCGTGTGAACATCTCTTAAATGGGAACTGGAATTCAAGTCCGGGGTTCCCTTGAAGAAACCTGTAACCTCTAGGCTTTCTAAGGACATTATGTCTTGGTCCTGCAGTCAGACCAGGCCACTGTCTCTGCATCTCCCAGCACCTGAGGGGTCAGGCAGCGTTTAGTCTCCATTCCAATGTCTGACAGAAGGAATTTTCAGTTGTCTGTGAAAACAACTGAGGCTTCTTACTTCAAACGGATATTATTTAAAACAAATATCATTTAAAACATTAGGTAACAGAGAAGTTGTCCAAGAGAAGTAAAGTATTCTATAGCCAGTCGTCTTGGAGATAGCATGGGTTTTCTGGTGAGTCAGAGCCTTACTAACATTTGGGCTTTTCAAGGACTGTGAGCAAAGCATCGGAAATCAACTAGGTTTCTACCAAAGATGCGAATGACAGAAAGGCATGTTCCTGATGTGATTTGTTTTTCTCCAAAGACTCTAGCTAGAATCAAACCAGGATCTGTTTTTGCTGTTTTAATCACATAAACTGGTCAGTAAACATTTTTGAAGAATGATGTGAAAACATCATTATCTTTTTCTGTTAAAAGACATTCCAGAGGAAGTCCCTATGTAGTTAGTATTGATGACTGACATTTGAAAAACATATTTGACATTATCATAATACAGGCATTTTAAATTGCTGCCCAAATTTTTAAGATTTACAGATAAAACTGTCAACTTTTCAATACACCTTGGTAACAGGTTCCAACTCTGATAATTCTGTTCAGTTTTCCAGTGTAGCTGGAATTTAGTTTCAAAGCCAAGTGTCTTTTGACAGTACATGGATTATTCCTGTTCAGGCCTTTTCTCTCCTGAGTATCAGAAAGCAGAGCTGTTTCTCTTTGAAAGTATCCGCCCTAGTGGGACAGACTCCAGCAGGGATGCTATGCTAGCCCCAGAACTGGAGTGAAGTGGCTTCCGGGGGCATCAGTCGTCCTTCGGGCAGGGCTCCTCTCCGGCCAGAGTCCCGCCCCATCTTGGGAGCTGGGTGCTGGGGGCACCGAGGCTTCTTGCCCTTGTCCTTGCTCACGGACTGACTGGGCGCTGACGTGGCCCCTGGGTGGAAAGGAGCCCTGCGGCCCTTCCTTCCTCTGACCCCGGGGCACCACGCAGAAGCCAAATCACTTGAGCACCGAGTGGCCTGGGGCTGGGTTCAGAGTCCACAGCGGGTAGAGCCTCCAAAGTGGAGGCAGCTGGCCTTTTGGAGGCGTTTGTGTTTACAGTTTTCTACCCTACCCGAGGCAGGCGGGCATCTTTGCAACTGCGGCTCCAGCCCTGAACTCAGCAGATCAAAACCCACAGCGATGCTCCAGCTCCGCTGCGGGTATCCAGTCTCTCGTTTCCCCACTTCCTGAAGGTTGGGTGATTTAGGTGTAAATAGTAATCTTTTATGGTCTCCAAACGAATTCTATGTGTGACGATATGTAAACCTGCAAAGAAAATCTGTGGTTTTTCATGACTTTGAGGCTCAACTAAAATGATTTCTACAAAATATATTTTAGCAGAAACACCATGACGGCATATTTTGACTGTATTAGGATCTGTCGGTGGTATTTCCATAAGCACTGTCAGTGGCTTCAGGATTAACCATCTTCCACATACAATAGGAATAATTTCTAAGCAGTAATTGTGGTTGGCTGTTAGCTGTGCTTTATGACTTTGCATTTCTTCTGAAAGTTGATTTGCATGTTGGGTATTATTTATTTCTTCTCTATTGAATCTGTACCGTTATTTTTTTCTCTAAAGGGTGTTTTGGATTAAATATGGATACTACTGCAATGTGTTAACTTGCTGATTGAATCTTAATTTTTTCCCCCAGAGATGTCTTAACCTTTGGAGCTTTCATACAAGTTACTCTATTGAATGACAAGAAGGCATGCCCTGGCTTTGGCGGGCCTGGGAGTTAGCAGGGAGGTCTGGAGGCCAGCAGCTGGAATGTGCTCAGATGCTGTATTTGCAGAATGAAATCATAGATATGCTGCAGGTTCGGCTTTCGGCCCCTATAAAGCAGTATATAGTCTTTCAGCTATACTATAAAATTCCCTAAGGTTTTGCTAGAGAAGCTCTTAAAAGGCCCTCAGAGAAGTGGGAAAAAGACTGGAATAAAAAAGTCAGGAGTCCCAAGTTCAAGTGCCGGCAGGTTCCCAACAAGCTACTGGTCTTCCGGAAGATGGTTTTTGGCTCTGTTGCCTCCTAGCCTGTAGCTGTCAGGTCGACACTGAGAACGTTCACAGCCCCCGCAGGCCAACTCCGCCAGCAGGGTCTGCGGAAGGAAACCACTCAGGCGGTGGGCTGTTTCCATGGTTAGGTGATCTCCGATGTCATCAGGTGATGGGCAGAAGGCCCAAGACACCACAGAAAGTTACAACAAAAGGTGGGGTGTGGTGGGGGGGTCAGGAGGAACACATACAATCAGGAAATGGGATCATCACTTCAAATGACATCTCGCAGAAGGTCACTGCATTAGAAACATGAGCCAGGCGTCACCAAGGGCAGCCTGTACCTAGGAAGGTGTGCAGATGGTGCTTGAGGAAGCGGCAGTTTAGTAGGTAAGAGGTGGCTTCCTTTTCATCCAGTCAACCCCCTTTGCTTGTCGACTTTCTTGACAAAGTCTGTACCCTGGAAGCTGGTAGCTGCATCCGTACTAACTGCCTGCTCTCGAAGGCCACCTCTCTCCGTTCTCTCACGCTAACATAGATGCACTTTAGGAACCACTGTCATGCCCTAGCTTAGAAAAAGAAAGTTGACTGGAAGGGAAAACCTTGAGGAATTTTCTACCGGGAGGAGGGGTAAATGTCTAATAATCCATACAGTACCACGGTTCACTGTATATATACACGTTGAATGTGTGAACACACTGTACTCTGCACTTGATTGTTAAAATGACAGGATGGTTGGAAAACTTCTATGAGGAAGGAAAGTATGTGTTTTGGGGATGATCAGACAAAAGATGTCTTTTCCTTTGCTTTCTGCTTCCTTCAGTTCTCTCGTGACTTGGCCTCCACGTAAGCCAACAGGCTTATTAACAAGACATTTCCTTCCTGTTTGTGGCTTAAGGAACCTGACTTTAATAAAACAATTAAGACTGCTCCATTTGAAACATCATGGTTTTTAGTAAACTAGCGGTATTTTTAAAATTAATTTTTATTGGAGTATACTTGCTTTACGGTGTTGTATTTCTGCTGTAAAGAGAATCAGTTGACACATGTGCACATATCCACTCTTCATAGATTTTCTTTCCCATTTAGGTCACCACCCATCATTGTAGGGTTCCCTGTGCTAAACAGTAGGCTCTCATTAGTTACCTATTTTATACGTTGATTATATTTTCAATAAACCACTTTGTTAAAAATATTTTAGACAGTTTCAGAAACCAGTGAAGCTTAGTCCTTTAATGGGCACACACATACCTTCAAGTCACACTGCGCAGGGAGCCCCATGTGGCTGTTCCGTCAACAAGCTCCATCTCCTTGGGGTTTTCTGACCTGTGAAGAACCGCCACCTACCTTCGCAGACGCAGTGAAGCTGGACTGAGACATGTACAAAGCTGGTGTAGTTCCAGGCAACTGTGAAGCTCACTGTGCCAAAAGGGCATTTTATAGGTCACCTTGAAACAGAGTCATACAGGAACACAGATGTAGCCCACTGGTCCTCGAATTTGATGTGAGTCTGAAACAGCTGTGAAAATCCGGACGGCTGGTGATAAAATATTCTGTAAATATTGCTAACAGTTGTGATGGGTGTACAGCTCGGTGCATAGACGAAAAACAGCTGGACTGTACACGTTAAAAAGGAGAATTCTCTAAGTATGTGAACGACACCTGCCTCTGCTTCAGCAGGTGCAGGGTGGGCCCCTGAGCGTGATTCTGTCAGGGCCCCGGGTGTGGCTGCCGCTGCTCCTGGGCCCACCCTGCAGAACCACTGCTCCAGCCCAGCCATTCAGCTGAGCGCCTCAAACAGGGCCAGCGTGGCTGCAATGCACTCTTCCTCTTTAGAGAGTACCTGCACTCTCAGCGTCTTCAGTAGTTTCCACAAGATGTTGCCGGCTCAAGAAAAACATTTTGATAGATAACTTAGTCTTTGTAATAGTTTTCTTTACCAGAGACACCTCTTATAAATAAACTAAGTGAATAACTCAGGAATGTTTTAAAAATATGAACCTTACTCTGAATTATAGTTTACTGTGTTAATGCCTTAGTAGTGATTTCCTAAATCACCAAAAACAAGGTTACACAGACTCAAAATACATTTTTTTCCTTGATCATTTTGACCCTTAAGTTTCACAATGTCCTCCTGGACACAGATTCCCAAATCCACTTACTTGCTGGAAGAAACCTTACCTGCCCAAACTCGTTTCTTTGGAAAGTCCACCCAGGAGCCCATGTCTGGAAGGTTTGCTGCAAGCACTAAACAACAGAATATGTTAAAAGCTTCTAGCACAATGCTTCTCACAATAGCCAATGAAAGGTCCATTATTCCCAGTCTAACCTGGAAAAACAGGAATCCAACAGAAAGTCCTGAATGGCCTGGAATGGGTCTCATCCAGCACAAGTGATCCAAGGCACCTAGGGATGCAATGACAGGTGGGTCTGGGTCTCTCACCTCCCAGCCAACCCTCCTGCTGCTAGGGGGCTTCCAGGCATACTTCCACACAGCTCCCCCCGCTCCAGCGGGCTGGCCGCGCCCTCACACTGGGTGCAGCAGAGGAACATAACGTGTCAAACACTGAGTCTGTTTACTTTCCGTTTATTCACATTTCATGGATTGATACACTTGCTCAAAGGGATCATTCAAAACTAATACACACCGAGATTACATTGTCTGACAATTCAAGTATTTTAGCTTTAGAAAACGGTTTCCTATGCAAAATAGAAAGCAAACAATTGATCCATTTGATAGGCTAACAAGTTTCCCGTCTAAGCTACAACTGGGTCTGCCACACCAGCCACACACACACACACACACACACACACGTGTCTGCCACACCAGCCACACACACACACAGGCCTTGTGCTCAGAGCACCACACGGGAAGAAGTTGTGACAGGTCCTGCCCTGTCTTCTACTGGTGCTACAGGACAAAGCGGTTTGTACTCAGAGACCTCACTTCCAGAATGAGGATGACTACCAGGGGTTTGGGAGTGAGTCGCTTAGTTTGTAAAAATGCACTGCACTTTCATTTGGACTGTTCAGAACTGTTCTGAAACAGAATAACTGACAAATGCTCAGAAACAATTCATCAGGCAATTCGCTGACCTTTAAAACTACACCAAAAAAGCCTTCTCTAAACTTTTAACAGTAAGGTAGAATATTAGTTTTTTTCCCTCTACCCCAGAACAGGTAGATGTTTTTTGGCATGCAGCATATCAAAAATATGATTTAGAATTCAAACTGTAAAACAATAATCCTTTTTAAAGAAAACCAGTCCATAAACAGACCTGTTCTTTCATGAAAAACACAATCTAAAGTTTGAAAACTGGACACACATTTTCAGCCTGTAACCTAATAATGAAAACAGCATAATACTCTATTTTTTTTGCTTAATGGGAATGCTCAAAAGGAAGAGATGAACACACAGCAGTTTAAAAAAAGGCCACTGGGATATTCTGTATTTGTCAAGATACAATCTGATTTAAAGATATATACACCCTTTAGGCCACATTTATGACACACTCTCTATAGATTCTCAAACCAAAGATAAAAACTTAATCCACATTGAACATTTTAAAGCCTAATTTCTAATAACTTGTTAAAAAATAAATTTAACTAAATCCAAGGGGTAGAATTGAGCTGTTAAACAGTGGGGACAAAAACGCAAGCCCTCCAGGGGCCCAGGCGCCCCTCCCCCAGTAATATACATGGACTTAAGATTTTACAGTGAAATCAACATACACTTATTAGGCTCTTTTACACTCAGACAGAATTAAAGTGGAGACCGGCAAGTTTCTCAAGTACAAGAGTGATTTTAAGACAATACCACATTTTCACTTACGGTATACATACCACATGTCCCCCTTGTAATTTCCACTTTAACAGTACAGTCTTAGCAAGAATTTGCTGGGAATGTTAGAATAAAAGAAAGCCACACACACCCAGTAATTTAAAAAGACAAACTTTTTAGGATAGTGGTGGGGAAGAGTTAATCCAATCGAGACTTTCATGCCATTTTTGGTGAACATTCCACATCACATGCAAAGGCAAACAAAATAATGCACCAGAGTTCCTATAGATAAAGAAGTCTGTGAGCCTGACTTTCTGGTGGGACAAGGAGCATGCGTGGCTAAGCTAGGACATGCTGATGAGGTTTGTTCCCCTAATTTCCTTGTCCTTGTAACAGCTGGATAAACCTAGTGTGAACAGGGTAGGGCCAGTATTAAGTAATCAACCACTTGTTAACTAAAACTCATCTACAACAAACACTCATGAACATTCTCATTTCTAAAAAGTAAAAGAAACAATTGCCACTTCCTCACCAGGCCTCATGATACAGCCGATTTCGATCACATTCCCTAACAGTGCATGTTATCTACCCAGTCACACATGGGGCCAAAGTCTCCCCACGGAATCAGAAAGGTGAGCATGCAGTAGTACAAGAATTTCACGATCAGTGTTGGCCCAACTACTTTACCTCAAGTATTAAAGAGCAACGTATCATGAAATGGTTTCCCTGCTCCCTTTACATCTAAAAATTGTAGGTTTTTATTTTTTTATAAAAGCAACTGTACTATCTACAGTAATTTTGACTATCTTTTTTTAAAGTCAGAAGACACTATGTTCTGGAGAACAGAACACACAAGTGTGAGCCCTCAGGCACAGACCCTGAGCCTACCTGGTACCAGCATTGACTGACTCATGAGGAATGAGAGTGGACACTCGGGACACTGAACCTGACATCTGGTTTGCGGGACCAGAGTCGTCAAGAGAACGCTCGGGCTAGTTACCCAGAAGCCATGGAGAAGTGACGTGGCTGCCCTGGTGCAACCATGGCTCCATTCCACACGGGGACACGGAACATCTCACCCTTAAAGAGTAAATGGGAATTTCAGTATCAAACGTAGACTACACTGGTGTCTGAAGGTTAAAGGCAGCGCTTACACACAACTTCCTCTTCCAGTACCTTACTGCATGTTTCCTGCTTAGTTCACATGGCTCATGTGTAACAAAAGCTCCTATGACTTAAGTTTAGAGTTTAGATCCATAGGATTCATCACGGTACAATTAACTAAGAGCATATTCTTTCCCTTTTGTTGTACGGTTTAACCCTTTTTTCTATAAGCGTTGTAACCACTGTCTGTGGTCTACAAACTACCAAATTTGTGCTTTTAAACCTCTTTCCTGGCAACCCCCCCATCCCTTTTGTCTCCAGGGGGATACAGAAGTAAGAGCACCTCATGAAGGAACCTACAAAACCAAAGAACAAGCTATTCATTTCCTCTTAAAATGAAACAGCAGCTCTGGAATCCTAGTAGAGCAGCCTGTGGGGTTAAAGGCCAGTGTCCACACGGAAACAGCTGAGGACCCACTGCTGAAGGCAAGCGTCCCAGCTGTAAAGTAGCGCGGTAAAACAGCGCACAGAGGGACACCTCTGCCACAGCGCGGCAGCACGGCTCACCCGGACACCAGCCAGCGAAGCCTGCCAGAAGGCCGCCTCAGGCAAGCTCCCCTAGGACGAACGGCCGTGAAGCTGTGCAGATGGTGGCAGCAGACCCCAAGCCCTGGATCAGAAAAGCCTTTGGGAAATCTAATCGATACCCTGATTTTAGTCCATTAAGAAATCACTTGTGGTTAGTTTAATAAATGAACGTTAAAAATCTTCCAAAATTTTTCTTTCAAACGTATTTTACACATTAGACAGTTCTTAAGAAGGGAGAATGCAGTTTCTTAACACTTAACATTAAAGGTTTTATTGGCCTTTTAATATTAATCTTCCTCACAAAAGTTTTAAGTTATCTCTAAGTCCTAGAAGGTCAAAGTAAGAAGAGAAGAAAACTGACTAAGCTCAGGGCGCTGGGGGAAGCAGCAGCTTGGCGACAGCTCCTCAGCCGAGCATGCTCAGGCATCCTTCTTCTCCAGCAGAATTTTGTGCAGCTCATCCGCGTCCTCGCTTGTTTTCACCCGAATCAACATGGGAACCGGGGTGGCGGCATTCTTTTCATCAATGGGCGGGTTTGGAACACAGACAATGAGCACGTTGTTCTTCCCTGTGCGGGTGCAAGGCATGCTGGGTGCAATCAGGATGTTGAGCAGTATGTTGCCTGCATTTAAACAAAGGGAAAAAATGCATCAAAATAAACTATTTTCCATGAAACTACACCTTTAATAGGCTAAACATTAAACACTGATGCAACACATACTTAACGGAGCCAAAGGAATGTCATAAAAAGGGCCTGGTTCCCTGACAGAACGGGGTCTCTGAGAGAGGACCGTGGGGCCTCTGGCAAAACGTGGACTCGGCCCCACTGAGGAAGCCTTCTCCCCAAAGAGTGGTCAGCTGAGAAACGGCTCTGTCACAGGGGCCAGCACGCTCACGGGCAAGAGTGAGAACGCTGTGACTGCACCACAGGTCAGCCGAGCCCACAGGAAAGGCACTTCACAGGAATCTGTTTCAGGGACACAGTCTGGTGTCACCTGGCACCCACGATCACTTCCCCTCAGAACCCCCACCCAGGCACTACCCCCTCTTTTCAGAGGACTGTTAATGGTAAAGCTGGAGAGTGGACAACGAGTTAATGATTCTTTGCTACATAAAAAGGACTCCTTTACAAGGTTAACTCCCCTTGAGAGTTAACTAAACCGTCCAATATACCTACAGTTTCTTAGTCACATTTCTAGCACAAAGGAAAATGAAAACACTTCGTTACTTCCTCGCAGTAGCTTTTTAATACAACAAGGTTTTCTTATGCACTATTTCCCCAGCATTCAACTAAATCTGTAAGTAGTGAATCAGTACAGGATGAATTTGGCCTGAATAATCTCTATTCTATTCCAAAAAACACATCAACATACTTGAAAATCTCGAAGACTAAAATCAGCAAAGTAGAGAGCTTTAATGTACTATGTAATTATGATTATTTTGTGCCACCTGAAGAAAAAGGTACTCACCTAAATTGGTGTCTGCCCGCACTAACAGCTGCGTCTTCTGATTCGCTGTAGGTTTTAAATGCAGAGTGCCCACACCCTTCTCTTTAAATTCATTTTCTTTCTTGTAAAACAGCTTACACCTAAGGAGAAAAATAATCAATATGATCACTCAGTGACATGTCATGAAAGCCACACGATTCTCCAACAGGCCCTGCTCATGCTGGTGTGGAAGCCAGTTAGTAAATACAGCAGAGGGAGCTTAGAAGAGTCTTCTGTTGACCCAAATCAGTCTGCCTTACACAAGGCAGGTAAGAGAATCTGATTAGACAGTCTACAGTCCCTCCTTTCTTCTCACTATTACACAGCAGGCCTGATAGAATTCTTGAAACTATCCTTTCTCGGGTCAGTCAAAAATCACTGCCAAGCACCTTACACCTCCCTGATGTATTATTGGTCCTGAGCTCAAGAGCTGCTTCTGGTGCTTAAAGAACAGGAACATACAGGACAAACACTCTGCCCCTCACTCTCACCTTTTTCCTATTTCTTATTTTTGAATTTTCTTCAGGACTCTTTCATCTCCGTAGGTTATTAATAAACAAGTCAAAACTACTGCGTGTCCCTTTGATTCACTATGATTAGAAAAAAAATCTTAAGAGTCTCTGTGGTCCAGTGGTTAGGACTTGGCACTTTCACTGCTGGGGCCAGAGTTCAACCCCTGGTCAGCAAATTAAGATCCCACAAGCCTTGAGGAGTGGGGGGAAAAAAAAAAAAACCAACAAAAAAACCTCATTCAAAACAAGCAAAAAATCCCCTAAGTCAGGGTCATTCCCTTACAGCATCTGTGTAATTACATTTTAAAACAGGCAAAAGGAATTGGTCTCAAAGTTCTCAAAAATAAACATTTGAAATCCCACGGGATTTGGTGATTTATACTATGAAAACTGCTGACTTACTAAGTCTGAAATTTTTGTATTAGAACATATCCAAGGGAAGCTTTAAGGGCACAAATGTTTTTCAGTAAAATCTTTGTTAAAAAGCACTAATTTCATTTCACTGAGAACTAAAAATTTCCCTTCAGCCTTTTTCTGAAAGCAACAACTCTCATTAAACAAAATTCACCCACATGCCAAACCAGTTTGCATCCCTGGGGGAAGATAGAGTAAAGTAAAGCCAAATCTAGAATCACTGACTTAGATGACTATCTTTGTAGGGAAAGGAGGGGAAGAAAGGAAGGAGAAAAAGGGAGAGAACAATGAGGTAAGAGATGACAAGAAAAGAGTTTCTAAAGCACCTGAAAAGCAGAAAGAGCTAAACTAACATGAAAGAGCAGGCTTCGCCCAGCAGGAAATTTTTACATCATATTATTTTTAAAAAACAGGCCCAGAATTCTTCCTTGTCCCAATTCTGGGAGCAGGCACAGCCTGACCCCAGGAGGGGTGCCCGGTAAACTCTGCAGGGACGATGTTGCCCATGGGCTCCAGCCAGAGGCCTGTTTCCACGTCTCTGAAACTAAATTCATCAAGTGGGTTGCCGTGACTACTACTTACTTTTTGGAGTAAAAAGCATCGTCTTCTTTTACTTCAGTAACTACTACTTTCGGTGGCTCGTCACTCTCTTCTTCATCTCCACCTTTTGTAAAAACACCACCAAGAAGATTCAGAACAAGAGCCTGAAAATGCGATAAAAGAAGTTTGCCCTTCTGCCCCTCACCTGAACCTAAAAATTACATCTAAGCTGATACAGAAACTGAAAGCACAATCTAACTGTGTCGGGGGGGTCAAGGTGAGGAGGTACTTGCTGGATTTTTGTAGAAAGTCTTAGAACAAAAGTGCCCATGCTTGTATGCAGAGTGCAGGCAAGGTTACAGAGAAAAAGTCAACACTCAGGTGCCCGGTTATACTCAGGTTACCCAGGAAAAGGAAAATCTCACACAGGCTTCTAGCACGTAAAATTTCACCCCCAAATATTCCTGTAACCATTTCTGCATCATGCCAAAGAACCAAGGAATGCAATGGCCAAAGACGGAGAAAACAAGCGTTTTACAGGGCATGTTGTCAGAGAAATGAGTCCCAAGCCAAGTGTAAGTAACTGAAGCTGTGTCTGCATCGCCACGCCTCTGGACATGCTGGTACAGGGGGTGCCCTCCCGGTCTGAGCCCAAAGCACTATCCTTGACCCCAATGCCCCAATCGTAAGGGAGAGTAAAGTCACTGGTGGACACAAATTACGACCCCCTTAAAGAGAAAGCAACTGTATAACACTCAGTAATGAGCAACTAAGAAAAAGAATTCTGCTGCTTAAACAATTCAGGTCGCAAGATTTAAATTGTAAGATGGTATGCCTGAGTTAGGCCCTGGGCATTCTGTTATTCTAACACGTTCTCCAAATCTTTTCATGCATAACATGTGATAACCACAGGGTGAGGAATAAGTGCTTTATGGAGGGGTCCCCTGCTGAGATGGAGACTATTTCAATTCAGCAGCCTTTCTACAAACAGCAGAGTCCCCGTGACTGTGACACACTCTCTGTCTGTCTTACTGAAGACAAAGGGAAGCTCTTTATTCTCTGCTTTGCCCTGGAGGGCTCTTGACTGAGGATACAGCTGAAGGCAGGGCAAAGCAACAGAAGGAAGTTTCCCTCCAGGAAGAAAAACAGTATTTATGGCCCACCTGCAACTGCAGTTTTCTTTCTCAAAGATCAATATGCTAATACCTGGAGAATGCACTTTTAACTGCTTTTAAGTCTCTATACAGACACTACTTGTTCATGACCACCATGGGGTAAAGAGGGATGACACAACCCCTATTTGGAGATGTTCAAGCTGGATTTAGAAAAGGCAGAGGAACCAGAGATCAAATTGCCAAGATCAGTTGGATCATCGAAAAAGCAAGAGAGTTCCAGAAAAACATCTACTCCAGCTTTATTGACTACGCCAAAGCCTTTGACTGTGTGGATCACAACAAACTGTGGAAAATTCTTAAAGAGATGGGAATACCAGACCACTTGACCTACCTCCTGAGAAACCAGCATGCAGGTCAAGAAGCAAGAGTCAGAACTGGACATGGAACAACAGACTGGTCCCAAACTGGGAAAGGAGAATGTCAAGGCTGTATATTGTCACTCTGCTTATTTAAGTTATATGCAGAGTACATCATGAGAAATGCTGCACTGGATGATGCACAAGCTGGAATCAAGATTGCCGGGAGAAATATCAATAACCTCAGATACGCAGGTGACACCACCCTTATGGCAGAAAGCGAAGAATTAAAGAGCCTCTTGATGAACGTGAAAGAGGAGAGTGAAAAAGTTGGCTTAAAGCTCAACATTCAGAAAACTAAGATCATGGCATCTGGTCCCATCACTTCATGGCAAATAGATGGGGAAACAGTGAAAATAGTGACAGACTTTATTTTCTTGGGTTCCAAAATCACTGCAGGTGGTGACTGCAGTCATAAAATTAAGACACATACTCCTTGGAAGAAAAGTTATGATCAACTCAGACAGCATATTAAAAAGCAGAGACATTACTTTGCCAGGAAAGGTCTGTCTAGTTAAAGCTACAGTTTTTCCAGTGGTCATGTATGGATGTGAGAGTTGGACTATAAATAAAGCTGAGCGCCGAAGAATTGATGCTTTTGAACTGTGGTGTTGGAGAAGACTCTTAAGAGTCCTTTGGACTGCAAGGCGATCCAACCAGTTCATGCTAAAGGAAATCAGTCCTGAATATTCATTGGAAGGACTGATGCTGAAGCTGAAGCTCCAATACTTTGGCCACCTGATGGGAAGAACTGATTCATCTGAAAAGACGCTGATGCTAGGAAAGATTGAAGGTGGGAGAAGGGGATGACAGAGGATGAATTGGCTGAATGGCATCACCAACTCAATGAAACTGAGTTTGAGTAAACTCCAGCATCTGGTGATGGACAGGGAAGCCTGCCTGGCGTGCTGCAGTCTGTGGGGTTGCAAAGAGTCAGATGCAACTGAACTGACTGAAGAACAATGGAGAGAGTGGAGGGGCTGGGATGACAGCCTGGTTTGGGGCACTAACAAGACAGACCATGAACACTCGTAGAAAGTCGGCTACAACCCAGACATGTCAGTTTGTTCCACAAGGTTATGAAGTCTGTTGTTGCCGTTGTCTTTCAGTCACCAAATCACATCCAACCCTTTGCCACCTCACAGACTGAAGCACGCCAGGCCTGTCCCTCACCATCTCCTGGAGTTCGTCCAAGTTCATGTCTATGAAGTCTACCTATTTTATTTATAGTAATGTTTTGCTATGTGAATTTATAAGCAAATCTCTTAAAACAATTCAGTGAACATCCATGAAGAGTTTTTTTTTCAATGAAATAAATTTTCAAAAAATCTTAAGTTTTTTTTTCTTAATGTAAAGGCATGTGTTTGATGGGTTTTCAAAGTTCCTGTGCCAGATGTTTTTCTATTATTTTTATATTCATAATCCTTCTAATAATCCTATAAAATAGGTCTTACTCCATTTTATGAATAAGCAATCAGAGAAATTAACCAGCTCTACCCAGGATCACATACGCATCTAGGCACTAATGGAGTCTGGACATGAATCCAGACCCATCTTACTCACAAGACTACACTTTTCCCACTAAACACAAAACTCACATGAACCTAAGACAGACCTCAAGCACTGAACTGTGTTTACCTTTGCATTCGTTGCCGCCACTTTCTGCTTGGCTCTCCGATGTTTTAGTGGAAAATGGTGAAGAAACTGGTTTACTCTGGGTAGTATCTTTGCCAAATAAACTGGAATTTCCAGAAGAAAATGAAAATCCAGTCAAGGGGCCCGAATTTAAGGAGCCCAAAACAGAACTATCAATTTTCTTGCCAAAATTAAACGAGGCACTTGTGGCTCCTAGTGATGGGTCCTTGATTTTTTCAGACACAGCTTCCACCTTCTGTTCAGACGTATCCTCAGTTTTGTTGACATGAAACAAAAATGGTGACTCTGGTTGTAATTTTGTTGAACCAAATAGAGAAGGAGGCTGTGTGTCAACTGATATTTTGCTGGCTTCACTTTCAGAATCACTGTTGCCGCTGCTCCCATGTTGCTGTTCGATGCTTGCCAAGTACTTCTCGTAGTCTTTGAAGATCGGCGTGAGGTCGCAGAGCGGGTTTGTGTCCACATGCTTCACGATCCAATCCCGCACAGAGCGGTTTAAGGCCGCCAGCTGCTTGTGATAGGCGTTCCCATGGCGGGCAGCACCAGAGGAGGGAGGCTGCTGACTGTCACCGGTAGTTTTAGGGGTTGAAATCTTTTTATCGACCAAGGAGGTAGGGCCGTTCATAGCAGTTGATCCTATAGGAAATTACACGTTTAAGAATTTATTCAGAAGCTGATTTAGTTAAGCCATTCAGATTTTCATACTGCTCTGCCTTCACATTTTCTTTTATCGTATCCCATTTTTGTTATAGTTCAAGATGCGTACATACAGTATTCAAAAACCAGTTATTACAAAGATCAAATAAAACATTTTACATGTATACATGAATATATATATACATATATATACACACACACACATATATTTTTTCACATGCTTGCATTAAACCTGTCATTTTAAAATAATCTTTTCCTTCAAAAGGATGCCCATTTCACCTAAACTGTCAAAATAGTTAGTATAAAACTTAACCCCCAAGACTGTAGGAACATATATTAATGCAGTTAGAATCTTAACAGGAAGTGCTTATTTTAATCACACTAAACACTGCCTAATTTAAATGAAAGAGTATACACTCTTAGAATAATCTGCTAAGTATGATCCAATGAGTCAGGATCACTTCCAAGAATCAAAGATTTTAACCCACAAGTCCATTCTCTGTCGCTAATTCCAAGATTCTTGAGGAATTTCCTCAAAGCAGGATGAGGCAATCAACATGTCCTGGGCAAAATAAACCACGCCTGGGAATGCAGGTGTGTGGCACAGAGGAAATTCTTGGTACATTACAATGAATGAGGTGGAGGGATGGGAGGCCTTCACCTAGGGTCCACTAAGAGCTTTCTTTTTCTCTTTTGATCCTTAGGTCAATTCTGAGGTCTTATTCATTTCACAGCTGAAGGAAGATTTGGAAGCTCAAAGGTTAAGGAACTTTACCAAGGTCACACAGAGCTGGTAACTGGCAGAACTGAGAACAGAACCCAGGCTGTTTTGGCCTGTGCTCTACTCACTCTGTAATTAGCCAAAAGCTCCCTAATTTTCATCCCTTTCATCATTACCATGTTCTTGCTCCTACAGCCGCAGAACCCAGAAAAAAGCGCCCCCCCCCCAAATTGCAAAATTAGTTTTATAGATTATCCTTCCACAGATAAGACAGGGAAGAAGCACCTACTCACCGAAGGTGGCCTTGGTCTCAGTTGCTGCCCTCGTGCTGGAGAAGGAAGGGGCACTAGTTATGCTGTTTCCGTTCGACAGTCCTTCCAGAGGCTTCCCTCCAGCACCATTACCAAATCCAGAAAACCCTCCTCCTCCAGAAGATGCAACCAAACCTTTAAATCCTTTAAAGGCCCCTCCACCATCAGACTGGAAAAATAAAGACAGAGCACACACTAGATAACTCTTTTTGTTTCCAAATAAGCAAGCAAAAGGCAGTATTCTCTTGGCTAAATAGTACCCACAACCCTTATGCAACCAGCATGAAAGGAAACTGCCAGAACAAGCAGAGACAACATGGATTTTACTCACAATGAGAGATTTGCAATCTGAAACTGCCTTCCTATAACAGGAAGGATAGATGGAATCAGAATGAAATAATTTTTTAAAACCTATTTATGATATAAAAGGCTAAAAAGACTAATTCAAATAAATTTATGGACTCACCAGCAGCTACAGAACTATAAAGAAAACATTCTCAACACAACTAAACCCCAAATGAAAGACTTTTCATATACTATTCAAAGACCAAGTGCCTAAGGAAGTTATAGAAACATCAAGTTAGGTCACTAAAAGTATTTTACCCACTACTTACAATTTCCTACGAACTTCTGGAGCTTTCAACCTGTGTTCAATGTACAGAACTCTGATGCTTTGGGAATGTCTGGCACGCTTCATGAAATTCGAAAGCTGCTCTTTCCACTGTGGTCTGCACTGTTTCTACCTCTTCACTGTCACTCGTACACAACAGCTGGCCTGCCCCTCCTCGAGCCTATCTTCCCAGGCATCTTGTCCTCATCAGAAGTTCCCGCTCTCAGGCCTCTTGCCAGTAGCCCCCATGGCTTTGACCTCCTGGACGGGAAACTTAACAGAGCTGCACCCATCTCCCAATTCCTGTTCTGAGTGGCCAACCAGTATACCTAGCAGTCTCCTAGAGAACTCCATGTGGTTGTACCACAGGCCCTGAAATACTTTTCCTAAGACAAAATCAATAACTTCCTCATGAAGTCCCGTCCCCCCTATATTTTCTCCATCAAAGAGCTATCAACTATTACTTGGCTCAAGACCTACATCCAACCAGTCACCAGTCTTAAGAATGACATTAGGCCAGAAAAGAACTCAGAATAAAGAAAAATTGAACAAAGCCACCACAGAACATGCAGCCAAGTAAATTTATTCCAAGGATGCCACCCAGACTGTTCAAACAAGCCTCTCCTGCCTGACAAGAGATGCCCAGGTCACCAAGACAGTGCTCACGGGTCTGGGACGTATCTGAGGGGTGAAGCGCTGTTACACACGGAGTGACTGCTGAATATGGAGACATGATTCCAGGTCATGAATTCTAACTCATATTTTATCTTTTTGAACACAAGAATGAAACATTTTGCCAGGAAACAGCTATGACAAACCTAGACAGCATATTAAAAAACAGAGACATTACTTTGCCAACAAAGGTATGTCTAGTCACAGCTATGGTTTTTCCAGTAGTCATGTATGGATGTGAGAGTCGGACCATAAAGAAGGCTGAATGCCAAAGAACTGATGCTTCTGAACTGTGGAGTTAGAGAAGACTCTTGACAGTCCCTTGGACTGCAAGGAGATCAAACCAGTCAACCGTAAAGGAAATCAATTCTGAATATTCATTAGAAGGACTGATGCTGAAGTTGAAGCTCCAATACTCTGGCCACCTGATACGAAGACCCCGATGCTGGGAAAGATTGAAGGCAGGAGGAGAAGGGGATGACAGAGGACGAGATGGTTGGATGGCATCACCAACTCAATGGACATAAGTTTGAGTAAGCTCTGGAAGATGGGGAAGGACAGGGAAGGCTGGTATGCTACAGTCCATGGGATCGCAGAGTCGGACGCAACTGAGTAACTGAACAACAATAAACACTAGAAGGAACACCAAAATGGGAAACGCTTCTATTATTCTCAAACGTATTACCCCACCCATACCTCAATCCTAGGAAACAGGTAAGACTTTGAGAATATCTTACATTTTCCTGTCTTACCCCAACACCCACTTCCCTTGCTTTCCAATTACTATATTCATTTTTCCACTTCAACTATAACACAACTTGAATTTGTCTACATCTACCTCTTATTTCCCCAACTGGGTAAGCTCCCTTTAAGGTACAGATGTCATATTTATTATCTTTTATATCTCCCATGGTCTTCACCAAGGGTATGCACAAGTGAACTAGGCATTTTAAAAAGCATTTTAAAATGCTTTAAGAACTCAATTAAAAATGAGTTAAGAACTCAATTAAGAACTCAATCAAAAAATGGACAAAAGGTCTAAACAGACATCGCCCCAAAGAAGATATACAGATGATCAACAAGCATGTAAAAAAATGTTCAATATCACTAATTATTACAACAACACAAATCAAAACTATGATGAGGTATCACTTCACATAGGTCAGAATGGCTACCATCAAAAAGTCTATAATTAATAAATGCTGGAGAAGACATGGAGAAAAACGTGCCTTCCTACACTGCTGGCAGGAATGTAAATGGGTACAGCCACTAAAGGAGAAAAGTATGAATGTTCCTTAAAAAAAAAGAAAACAAACAAACAAAAAAAAACACAGAACTACCATACAATTTAGTGATCCCACTCCTGGGCATTATCCAGACAAAATTATAATTTAAAGATACATGCACCCCAAAATTCACTGCAGCACTATTTACAATAGTCAACACATGGAAGCAACCAAAATGTCCACTGACAGATGAATGGATAAAGATGATGATGTGCTGTGTGCTCTGTCTCGCTGACTCTTTGTGACCCCATGGACTGTAGCCCACCAGGCTCCCCTGTCCATGGAATTCTCCAGGCAAGAATTCTGGAGTGGGTTGCCATTTCCTTCTCCAATGATAAACCATTATATATTTTTAAAAGGCATTCTTGATAGATTACATAAAAGATATTTAAATTAAAAAAAAAAAACATTTATTGATCTGATTGCTCCCAGAGGTGGAAATACTCTACAACTCAGAAATCAAATTAGTGTTTAGAACCAGAAGCTGTAAGGAAACACTCACTTCGAATCCAACATTTCTACGCTTTGCTTTCTTTATCGCTCTATTCTTCAAGACCTCCTCACTGGCCACCGAAAATGTTCCCACCTGCAGGAGTATACAAATTAAAAGAGCAATAAGAAAAGGGCAAAAAGGTAAAATGCTGAATTTCTAAAAAGCTAGACCAAGACAAACTGATCAATAAAGTCTGGGTTATAAGTACTGTTAATACTGATAACACGAATTATGGAGAGCATATATTAAACTAAAGTTTATGTCTCTTATCTGTCTTATGAATTTCACTGCTAGTCAGGTGAATCGGAAATGTTTCAGAAACTACAAATCCAGACTCTGAACCACAATTCAGAGAGAAGACTGTATACATCAACTTTCTAAGAAGATTAAGACCATTAAAACCTTGGCACAAAACTGTTCATGATCAATTCTTCAAATATTTCAAATATATTCAAAGACATTACCCAGATGCCAAAGCTAGCATCTTACTACTATAGTTTTCAAAAATTAAGTTCATAATACACATTATTTTAAAGAACAGCTCTGCCCATTTGCCCATGATCCAGAAGACCTCTGAGGGACCTGGGACTCTAAGTGACCTGTTGGAAATTTGCTGAAAATGTTTGGCTTTACTTCACCCTTTCTTTTACCTTGGAGAAATGGCATAGAATACTTGCTGTAAAAAGTTCTCTTCTATACTTATTTCAGATAATGTTAAACTGTGGAATCTCTGTACCCACAGAAGGGATCATCTGACTACGCCTGACTCAAATGTAATGTCCTTCCACACATGTTTCATTAGAATCTATATCCAAATGCAAGTTCTTTCATTTCTGAAATATTTTAATGTCAGAACAAATCATTATGTGGTAGGCCTGGAACGTGACTGTAGCCTAAAACATGGGAAAAACTGAGTTAACAAAGACATGCTTAAAAAGTACCAAGTCAGTCAGAGTTGTTAAAAACACTTCTTTATAAGCCCATACTTGTGATTTTGGTTTCCTTAAAAATATTAGTACACATATTTGTAAAGGAAAAATATTAGTACTAGAAAATAGATTGAGAAAGAAAAAAAATAGCAGTCGAAGAATTATCTTGGAAATGCTTTTGCAAACTATTTAAAATATATATGTATATTTTTTAACTTGGCACACTTCTTTTAACTTGAAAGGCTAACTTGGTTCAGGCTTGCTCAGTGAACTGGCCTGGGAGTATCAAACTGCTGATGAGGCATTTCAGAAATGCAGCTGTGTTTTATTCTTTTTAAGAGAAAAATTAAAAGGTTTCCTCAGAGAAGACCATTTTTATTTTCTTAGGAAAGAAACCAGGCCATCTAAATTCTATTCCTGTTAACCCAGCTGGGGGTGGAGAGTGTCTCAGATCTTCAATATGAAATAAAACAGGACTCTTAGAAGCAGTACAGTAAGGGGAGGCAAACTCAATCTTCTAAAATCTAAAACTGTTGAGTATGGCAAACTAAGACAGTGGTGGTAAAACACTTTTCAAGTTTAGTTTATAACTAGATCATTTACTCAGCCTTCAATCTGGACTAAAACCATGGGCTGAGGGTGCTCAATGAAATGCTATATGAAATTCAGGAGGAAGATGATTCTACAAAGGCATAGAGTACTGAAGGAACAGTTGCTAATTGAAAAGCACACCCATCAATTTCTATACTTAGCATAGATCATAAGAAACCATATTATTTCCAGTTCAGGATGCTCTGAAAAAGGCCTTTTATTTTTACCACAGTTTTCACGAGGAATCACAAAACAAATTTAAATTTGGAAGTAGCAGGAAATCATTCTTAGGGAAAGCACTTTTTACCTCTTCTGCTTCGTCTTCTTGATCCCAGTTCCTATCTGTCAATTCCTTCTCGGCGATTCTTTTGGCCATTTTTTTGAACCTAAAAGTAAAAAGATGAGAAGTACTAAGCTTTTGTTGTTGTTAAGTCGCTCAGTAGTGTCCAACTCTTTGCAACCTCTTGGACAATAGCCTGCCAGGTTCCTCTGTCCATGGGATTTCCCAGGCAAGAATACAGGAGAGGGTTGCCATTTCCTTCTTTAGAGGATCCCAACCTAAACGTCAAACCCATGTCTCCGGCACTGGCAAGCGGGTTCTTTACCAATGAGCCACCAAGGCAGCCAGTAGTAAGTTTGCTTTTCCAAAACATGATTTAACTCTTACAACGAATTTTAAAAATTTACTTTAGCATGAAATGAGATAAAAACATCCCTGATACCAGTGGGCACTTCTTTAATGAGAATGGTATAACACTGTTAGGTTCCCAGTGTCACAAATCCAACAAAAATTACAGGAGAAGGCAGCGAGGTCTTCTAAGACACAGTGAAAAACAATAAAACAATTCCATTTGGGAAAAAAATGCTAATGAAACACTGATTTTTTAAAAATCAGAAATATACAGAACTGCCTAATAATCAACAAATGCTCAATTAACTCCATGCAAATTACATTAATACATAGCCTGGCTATAGGCAAGACATTTTTAATATTTAAAATTCTCTTAAGGATATTTAGTAAAGTTTGACCTTAGTTAAGAATGTGAACGAGGCATTACGTTCACAAGATGGTCTCTGACTTCAAGGGTTCGTCTTGCAAGTTTTCAAGTTTACGATGGTGGGAAAGCAAAACTCGTTAAGTAGAAGCCTTCCTTTAGATTTTGACTTTTTCTCAGGCCAGCAATAGGAGGTATGATATTCTCCTGTGATCCTGGGCAGTGGCAACAAGCCACAGCTCCCAGCCTGGCAGCCAAGCCACCACAATCAAGGATACACTTACAACCATTCTGTACCCATATAACTATTCTGGTTTTCATTTTCTGTACAGTATTCAAAAAATTATATGAGATACTCAACACTACTATAAAACAGTCTTTGTGTCGCTTGATTCTGCCCAACTGGAGGCTAATGGTTGAGCACTTTTAAGGTAGGCTGGGCTATGATCTTCAGTAGGTTTGACATACTAAATGCATTTTCGACTTACAGTATTTTCAACTTACCATGGGTTTATTGTGACATAATCCCAACATACATTGAAGAAGATAGTTCAAAATATGATTAACATGAATGATAACATTCTTAGAATTCTTAATTCTTCAAAAACAAGCCATCAGCAGCAGAAACCAACATTGTAAAGCAATTGGCATCCAATTAAAAAATAAATTTAAAACAAACTAACAAAAAAATCGCAAAAAAAGAAAAACATCAGCTCAACTTCTATTCAAGGCTTGTTGTTGTTTAGTCGCTAAGTTGTGTCTGACTCCATGTAGTCATCCCTTAAAATTCCCAATTTATTTTCTGACCCTAAGATGTGTATCTGTTGCTATTAAAAACAGAAACAATCAATGGAGAGCACCACTGTGAGCGCTGTGCTTGGCTCTTCCCTAACTTACCAATTAAATAGGTCGTATACCTCCTTACCTTGCACAGAGATCTACCAATTAGCGTGGAACACTAGCCAGGGTTCCTGAAAACCAGCCTAGCTTCCGTCCTAGTCCTTCCCCACTCTTATTTGCCCTCAAGACCAGAACCCACCAGAGAAGTTTCTAGAAGCTCATGGTCATTAAGACACAAACTTATACATCAAACTTATACACTTACTCACAGTAAGATCTGTGAAATAAAATTCAAAGTCAGTGTTCCAAAGTCCTCCAAAATCCTATCCCCTGGTAGAATAATCACACAGCAATTTTCAGCTCTTAATAAGCTCCTAATAATCTCTGAATTTTTCTTTTACCAAGTACTTTTTTTCTGATTACAGAATAAATGGCTTTAAAGTCCCAGATTCTAAAACATAGTGAGAATTAACATAATTTTGTCATTACTTGCAAATCTTTCTTAATGCCTCCGTCCCAAACACTTGGTCAAGTTTTGCTATTAATCTTGTCATTCAGAAAACAAACAAGGTGCCCTTCCGCATAAATTCTTAGTAAACCTGAACTGCTCAGAGGCCAGGCCCCTGTGTCGCTTCTTTTGGGCCATTTCCCATTCAGTAACTAACACCTCCACCAGAGGGCAGAAGAGAGGAGAGACTGAAACAGTCTTTTTTTTGCTATTAACTTAATAACCTAACTAGTTATTAACAGGTAAAAAGGAGTGGAGCTGAAAGTGCAAAAACTTGATTAACTGTTCAAATTGTAACACCTAACCCACAGCCACAACTAAAGACAACTGGCATAGTCAAATAACCTAAATTAATATACCAATTCACTTCCTATTCCATATTTATCCAATCTCCATTTTTATCAAATCAATGAATAACCAGAGGGCAGGTATCTTTGTTTCACTCACTCAGGTACCTCAAAACCCGCCCCCCTCCACATGATAGATGGTCTAGAATCAGAGATCGGGGACACTGCAAGTTTGAGAAAAATACTACAAAATGCTAGCATCCAGTTTTGCCATGTTGTTGTAGAAGACCTTTGGCAAATTATTTCATTTTTGTGCCTCAATTTCTTTACTTCACAACAGGGAAGTGCTGTGAAATTTAAATGAGATAAACAAAAAGCTTAGCTTAGAACAGTGCCTGGAACAGAGGAAGGACTCAATATATCTTATCAAAGAGAAAAGTTCTGTCAGAAACAGGCTCTAAAACACTTTCCCTCCCTAACTTAAAGGCTGTAGTGGGGAAAAACAAAATTAACTTGAATTATGAATCGGGCTCTAAATAATACTTTACCAAATCCGTATTTTATTTCAAAGCATGGTACTTCAGACAGTAACATTTCTTTGAAAAAGGAAAAAAGTGCCGGTAAAGTACTTAGAACAAAGCCTGGCACCTAGTCTTTAAGTGTTAAGAACTAAGAATGTAAAAAAAAAGGCGGGCTTGTGGTTTAGAAGCACCAAATCATGAAATGATTACTAGGTATGAAGCATACCTTGAGATAGGAAAATCGAAAACTTTCGGTAATTGGGGGAAACTTTATTTGTGCCGGATACAGGGAATTCTGTGATCTCTGCCACCGGGGGCTGCCCCGACCTTGGAGTGTAACTTCAGTCCACGTCGATTTACTCTAAGACGGAAACAGACTGGAACATACTTGGCAGCGTGGTCCCCCGAGGAAAAATGGAACATGGGGCCGGCCCTCGGAGACTGAAACGCTCGAGGAAAACGAAATCCTCGAACATTGCTCTTGATCGAACAGAGACAAGTGATGAGCGGGCTGTGGCTGCAGTACAGGGAGCGGAGAGAGACGAGTACCGGACGGAGCCGCGAGGAGATACACCGAGGACGCCTCGCCAGGACGGACCCTTCCCTCTCCGGCTCCCGCCTCCGATGGGGCCGCGGGGGCCCCGCGCCCGGGCCCAGCCTTCCCCAACTCGGACACCGCAGCCCCGACAGGCCGGCCCCGAGCCCGGCCTCACAAACACCCCGCCGGGTTGCGTCGCGCCTGACACCACGCCCCACCCTCCTCCGCTCCCTCAAGCGCCCCGTCCCCAGCCGGCGCCCCGCACCCCGCTCCACCCTCCTCGGGCTCCCCGTTTCAGGCCCGGGTCCGGCACCCGGGACCCGGCTTCCTTCTTTACCGGGCGCCCGCCCCTTCCGTGCCGCCCAGTCAGCCCGCCCCTCACCTCTCCGGTGGCTGCGGCGGCCCTCGCTGGGATGTGAGCGCGGCGAAGCCGGGGTGCGCAGCGGAGAGCAGGTGCGAGGTCGCGGCCGCGGCAGTCGGGTCTGAAGCGGCGCGCGGTCGTTTCTGGTGTGCTGAGAGGCTCGAAGGATTCGGTGATCGGCAACCCCTGAGTCTCAAACACCATGTCCTTCGGGGAGGGTCTCGTTTCTCTGCGTTGAGCAGTGAGGGGAGGTAAGCCGTCCGGTCAGCAGGAGACGGCTAAGAGAACAGCCCCACACACCTCAGGCCGCCATTTTGTAACTCGAATCGAGCCCTCACGACCAATTCGAAAAAAAAAGGGAGGAAAGAAACGCCCGCGTCCAGCTACTGCGCAAGCGCGCCGGGGCGTCGGTTGGCAGCACCACCCACGGCGGCGGCCGGGCCTCTCGCTGCGCATGCACCCAACTGCTTTGAAAAAACCGTCGACGAAGGCGCGTCCCTTGTTTCACGCATGCGCGCGCAAGCGCACGTCCCATGCTCTGGCTCCGGCGGAAGTCGGCACCGGGGGCGGGGCTTGTGCGCCTCTGCCCAGTGTGGGACGCCGTTCGCGTTGGAGGCCGTCGCGCGCGGTTGGCTGCTAGTTGTGGGCGCGGCCGGGGTTCCGGAGGCCCTTGGGAGAGCTGAGTCTGTAGGGGGGCGTGGCGGGTGCTCGTGGTGTCGGGATCTGGTGCTGGAGGGCGGAGAAGGGAGCGGTCGTGACCTCCGGAGGCTTGAGTGAACTCGGGTAGCGTCACATCAGGAGCTCGGTGCCTCAGCCGTGGAAGAGAGCTGCGCTGTGGGCCGGCCACTTGCTTGCGACGCGCCGGCCGCGGATGCTCGGAAGGTCTGGGACTCACGGAGCCCGGGAGGGAAGGTCGCGGGCGTGGACGAGAGAAGCGGACCGTCCACTGTTCCGTGGCCAGCTGTATTTCCTTTCTGCGGTGGGTGCCATAGAGGCGAAGTCATTTGCCATTTTGCATATATAGTCGGTATCAACGAAGATGAAGTCTGCAAAGGCGTTTTTTAAACTGTGGGACGAATACGAATGTCCAGGGTCAGGATGTGTTTTCGTGTGCTTTTGCTTGAGTACTGCAGCATAGCATCTCAAGATACCACTTACAGTAATGGAGTGAAAGTCGCTCAGTCGTGTCCAACTTTTTGCGACCCCTTGGACGGTACAGTCCGTGGAACTCTCCAGGCCAGAATACTGGAGTGTGTAGCCTTTCCCAAGCCAGGGATCGAACCCAGGTCTCCTGCATTGCAGGCTGATTCTTTACCAGCTGAGCCA